CGCCCATCCGAGAGGCCGGGGCCCGAGACACCCACGGGTGGCCGCAGGGCATCCGCCCAGACGCGCACGCGCTTGTCTTCGGCAACGGCGTGCGCAGCACCACGGCGGCCACACTCGTTGGCGAACAGGCGGCGGTATGCGGGGAGGGCAGCTGGAAGGGCACACACAGACACAAACTTGGGATCGCGACCTCGCGCGAAGCGTCGAGGCGGAGCAAATACACATACACAAGAACCCTAAGACTCCATAGAGGCGCTCGAACCACCAAGACGCCCAAAAAATACCGAAAGAGGCATCCTGATAGCCAAGCAATGCCACAGCCGCGCCGCGCTACTTCGCTGCCGCACAGCTTCCGTGCGCTCCCGAGCGTGCGCAGCAGCGCGACCGGATACGACCCGGGGGAAGGCAGAAATGCGCCATCCTCTGGCATCAAGCGCCACGCAAGCATGCGCAGGAGTTGGTGATAGCGTCGGCCCTCTGGGCGTCAGTGGTTGATCAGGGTCGGTCTTCCACCCCCCTTCCTTCTCCTTCGGGAAAGGGCTGACCCTCACCCCAACCCCCTTACCCTCGGTCTAGACGCAGGGTTTCGAGACGCGTTGGGGCGTCCAAGATGGCCCAAGATGGCTCCATTATGGCCCAAGATAGCCCAAGATGGCAGCCAAGATCGCACAACATAGGCCGGGTTGGCTCAAAGTAGCCGCCAACATGTCTCGATGAGGCCCCAAAACCACCCTAACACGGCTCCAAATGGCCTCGGAGTCTCCCAAGACGCCTCCGAGAGGCCAAAAGCCGTCAAAAGCAAAACCGCTTCCGATGGGCTCTGAAGGCGTCAAGATGGGCCAAAGATCGCCAAGGAAGCCCCACAAGGTGTCCAGAAGGGCCCCAGTGCGGCCCCAAGAAAGCGCCCCTAGAGGCGATGTGGTGGCATCCGACGGAGGGGGGCAATTAAGAACCCCATTTCTTTGATCGATGCCCTACAAGGTGGCCCCAAGAGGACCCCCGAGAGGACCCCAAGAGAGCCCAAAGAGAGCTTCAAGAGGGCTCCGTAAGCCCCCAGAAGACCCCAAGAAAGCTCCAAGATGGCTCCGAGAGGCCTCCGGAGAGGCTTCAAAAAGGCTCTGAGAGCGAAAGAACCGTACTGTCGTCATCGTCGTCGTCGTCGTCTTCCTGGTGCTCGTTAATGTCGTCGTCGCCGCCCCCTTCCTCCTCCGTCACCTCCGACCTCCCTCTTCATGTTCCTCCCTCCTCCCCTTCCTCCTTATCCACGTTCTCCTCCTCCGCCTCCTCCTCCTCCTGATCCTCCTCCTCCTCCTCCTCATCCTCCTTCAACGGCAGGCTCAGTAATTCCATTCCTGGGTATACTCAGACTGATTACACGCTTGGGCTTCACGGCTGACTCACCTGCATGTTCCAGTTCATGCCCATACACGTCTCTGATCGGGAAAACAAGCTCGCCTGATCGTTTCTGGATGGGGTGGCAATGGTACATGAAGCGTCAAGGATTCAAACCGCTCTCGTCACGAGTTCAGTCGGCGACACATTGCATACACGTAAGCATGCCCGAATACCTACAAGTCGAGCCATCTAGTATCGCGCGTCGCGCCGCGCGAATGCGAAACGCGCAAATAGTCTCGATCCCACGCCATCCCACTAGAGATGGTCGTCTATCTGCCCAGATTGCGAGGCGCAAAGCGCGAATACATTCGCGCCCCTGCGGGTAACCTGGACCAATCCAAAAATGCAGCCGTGCGGTTGGGCTGGTGCCCACAAACGTACAAGACTCTTACCGCAAGAATACATCGCTACCGAAATGCATCGGCACCTCCTTCTGAACGACCATCGTGACAGCCGCCCAGTCGTCAAGAGTGACGAAGCGGAACTGCAGTACAGGTCAAGAACAGAGAATGCAAGATGGCAGGCGTTCCGCATGTGCAATGATGTGAGAATAAGTGGGTCGAGCATGTGTCCAAACTTTGAGTTCGACCACGACTGCGAGCATGCATGTGACACTCAACGCTTCAAGACGCACCCCTCATCCTTCTCACCCTCCTCGTCATGCGCATCCCCTTGCTACTGCTGCTCCTCGCCATTCTGGGCCGATACGACCACCCTTCGAGTGATAAGGACGTTGCGGGGGGGGGGCAACTGATGACAACTGCGATGATTGTGATGGTGACGATGCTGGTGATGCGCCCGCGAGCTGGTGACGATGCATGATGGCGACTGTGTTGGTGACGATGGCGACGATGCTGCGAAAGGGTGGAGTCGGCAGAAAGCTCCTACGTTGGGCCAGACTGCCGTGTTGATGGTGATGGTGGTGATGGTACTGCTGTTCTGCATCGGCGATGCTGCGATGATGACGATGATGTTGACGATGATGACGGTGGTGATGCTGATGGGAAAGATGATGACTGAGAACCCAACACCCATCGGAGAACCCTCAGTCGTGGGACAATCACAGAACAATTGAGAGACCACTGGGGCACCATCGTGACACCATCGGGGCACCATCGAAACACCATCGGGAAGACCACTTGAAAACACTGCGAGAACAAATACGTGGCACCCCCGGGACACCATCGGGGCACCATCAGGACACCACGTGGACACCATCCTGACACCACCATCGGAGCACCATTGGGTCACCACCAGGGCACCATCGAGACACCATCGATTCCCCTAACAGTGCTCGCACTTAAGGGTTCTTCCTTCTGCTCGAAGGAACTGGGCCGGGTGGCTGGTCTGCCGGCCATGTTGTCATCGTCGCCGCCCCGTCGCCGCCTCGTCGCCGCCCGTCGTCTGGGCAGTGTGGCCAGTCTGGCGGCTATGCTGTCGTTGTCGCCACCCCGTCCCCGCCTCGTCGCCGCCGCTGGATTGCACAACATAGTTTGCACGTAATAAAGAATGGCGCCTGCGATGCACTTTTGATCGCTCACAACATATTGCACCACATAGCATGCACAGCATATATTCTCCTGTCTAAAAAGACAATAGACTCTACCCCCCCTGGCGTTATCCGCCCCCCTTTCGGGTATGTAAATCATGAATGATTCTCACGACATGTCCATCATAAAAATATGAATTTACACTATCCCAGGGGGGCAGGGATCGCTGCCACTGAGGATCCCTTGTAAAATACGATACGCGGGGACATCTTTTGTTCTAACATAACACTTTTTCACGAATCCCTTGCAACAAAAAAAAAAAAAAAAAAAAAAACGCAGTGCACACGCGCGCGTCGTCGCGCGCGCATGCCGAAATCCTTCAAAAACCTTCGGTTTCGGAAGGATTTCGTAATCGAGTTTCCAAAAAAAACATACAAACACACAGGGTTTCGCAACACTGATTTGCTGAAAAAACTTACGCGCGAGCTCTTGCAAAATCTTAAGAAGACCCTAGGTTTTTCAAAATTTTCACACAATGCTACCAAACGGACTTCGCGCGCGCGCAAGTCGAAATCTGTCGAACGCCCTTGCGCGTGTGCCGTCGCGAGAATCCTCTGCAAAAAACGTGACGAAGTGCAGACGCGCGCGTCGTCGCGCGCGTATGCCGAAATCCTTCAAAACCCATCGGTTTCGGAAGGATTTCAAAATCGTGTGTCCAAAAAACCTACAAAAGCACAAGGTCTCGCAACACGGATTTTTAACAAAAGCGTGCGCGCGCGCTCTTGCGTCGTCGTCGTCGTCGTCGTCGTCGTAACCGTCCTCCCTCCTCCCGCGTCGTCGTCGTCGTCGTCGCCTACGTCGTCCCCTGTCTTTCCTCGTGTTCGTCGTCGTCGTCCTCTTTGGCGTCGTGGTCGTTTCCATCGTCGTTGTCGCCGTGGTCGTCCTTCCTCCTCCTCCCTCGTCGTCGTCGTCCGTCGTCGGCGTCTCGTCGTCGTCCCTCCTATTTCGTCGCCGTCGTCGTCGTCGTCGTCGTCGTCGTCGTCGTCTTCCCTCCTCCCTCGTCGTTGTCGTCGTCGGCGTCGCCGTCCTTCCTCCTTCTTCGTCGTTCGCGTCGTCGCCGTCCTCCCTCCTCCCTCGTCGTTGTTGTCGTTGTCGTCGTTGTCGCCGTCATCGTCCTCCCTCCTCCCTCGTCGTCGTCTTCGTTGGCGACGTCGTTGTCGTCTTCGTTGTCGTCGTCGGCGTCGGCGTCGTCGTCTTCGTCGTCGTCGACGTCGGCGTCGTCGTCGTCGCCGCCGTCGCCGTCGTCGTCGTCGTCGGCGTCGTTGACGTCGTCATCGTCGTCGTCGGTGTCGTCGTTGTCGTCGTCGGCGTCGTCGTCATCGTCGTCGTCGTTGTCATCGTCGTCGTCGTCGTCGGCGGCGTCGGCGTCGTCGTCGTCGTCGGTGTCGTCGTCGTCGTCGTTGTCGGCGTCGTCGAAGTCGTTGGAGACGTCGTTGGTGTCGTCGTAGTCGTTGTCGGCGGCGTCGTCGTCTTCGTGGTCGCTGTCGTCATCGGCGTCGCTGCCGTTGCCAAGTGCCATTTGGTAGCCACCGTCACTGTCTTAAGAGATTTTGCAAACCAAGTTGCGGGTGGGTGGGTGGGATGTTTGCGCGAGCAGTGGAGTGGTCAAGCGCGGTGCAGGGTAGTCAATTGCACCACATAGATTGCACAACCTAGATTGCAGAACCACGTCTAATGTACCATACTTGTTGCACAACATAGATTACACATAGATTGCACACCACAAATTGCACTGCATATATTGTACAACATATATATATACACATATTGATATATACATATATATATCAAGAGAAAGCACAGCACAGATTGCACGACATGGATTGCACACAACATATAGCACGCACGACTTTGGATTTCCCCACGCACACTGCACCACATATATTGCAACACATTGATTCCACAACGATAATTGCTAGAAACACATTGTTCGGGGTCCACGCTGGCTAACATGTATGTGACAGATAAACAAATCGATAGATATGAAAGTATGTATTATTCTGCCCTGTCCAGCGGTCGGAAACTACAACGGCCCCAACCCTCCACCCTAGGGGAGGGGGATGGAGCAAGGACGGAGCGGGGGGAGAACGGAGGGGGGCAGGACGCGGCGGACAGTTTTCCCCGTCGGCGCCGGGGGGAGGTGCGGACGCATCGGACAGAGTGGGAGCAGGCGGCAGGAGGGCCGGGGGGAGGGCGGAGGAGCAGCAGCAGCTGGGGCACAGGGCGGGAGCGGGAGCCGGCGACGGAGGGGTGAAACCGCTGCGAAGAAGGCACGTGAACCGTTACGTCTGTCTCGCTCACCAGAGAACAACGTAGGGAGGAGACGAGAGGGGGAGAGACGGAGAGAGACAGGGACAGCGAGACAGACAGACAGGCAGGCAGGCAGGCAGACAGACACACAGACAGACAGACAGACAGACAGAGACCGACAGACAGACAGACAGACAGACCGACAGACAGACAGACAGACAGAGACAGAGACAGAGACAGAGACAGAGACAGACAGACAGACAGATATCTAGATATGTACGAAAATGTATTTACATTACAAAGAGAGAGATAGACACACAGACAAAGCGAGAGGGAGAGAAAGAAAGAAATAGAGAAAGAGAGAGAACAAACAAGAAAGAGAGAGAGAGAAAGAGACACAGGGACAGAGAGAAAGGGGGAATGAGAGAAAGAGAGGGAAGGAGGGAGGAAGAGATAGAGAGAGGGGGAGAGAGAGAGAGAGTGGATCACGTAAAAGGCGCGGCCATCGTGAACATGCTTTTCCCCAGCGTCGAGAAGCAATCTTCGATCACTTGGTAGTCCTCCTCGTCGTCCTTCCAAAGGTCTGCCTGATGCCCGATCAGCGACGTCACGAAAATGCCGGAGAAGAAAATAATGAACAAGAACAAGATGAGGATCCACCCAACTGCTTGCAAAGAATAGCGGAATCCTGGCGGGTTGCGGGGACGGCTTCAAAATACAGGGAATGCATGACGTTCGCGAGTGAAGGGGGAGGGAGGAAGCGGAGGGTTGAGGAAGATCGTGTAAGCGGAGGAGTGAGGAGGATGGAGAAAGGGGGGAGGGAGACAAAAGTTATGAGTGAAGGAGGAAGAAGGGCGCACACAAGTCGTAGCTGCATACCCACGCTCGCGTGCGCCAAACAAAACGACAAGCTGATACACTGCTTGAGCATTGGACTCTGGCAGCAATTCAGCACCAGAGCAGAGCTTCCGGCATCCTCCCTCCCCAAGCACTTGTTCATGATCCTACCCCTCACGGCCTGGGCAGCACAATCAGTCCAGAAAATACCCTGATCGACCAGCAGATCTAGACAGCACAAAAAAACTCATTGCCTGCGTTCCGAAAAAGGATGGGCCGCAGAGAAGCTGGGCGGACGAAGAGGAGAAATAGGGGGCAAGGCCCGGCATGACGCGCCGCTCACGGCAGAAGGCGCGTCCTTCGATGAGCCGCCGGAGCTGCGGCATGTGCCTCCAAGCCCATCTCTGCGCTCCGCTGAGATCCCCGCTATCGCGACTGGCTACCTACCAGACCACCCCAACCCGACCCGAAGACCCAGATTTCAGGTTGGGGGGGGTACGGGTTCCATATGTGGTTTTTCAATGTTCCCCGACACCCCCGCCAACTGGTAATGGAGGGCAGATCGGGGCCTTCGGGTTGGGTTGGGGATGTTTGGTGGGCGGTGAGCGACGGTGCGATCTCCCGAGTGCGCACGAAAGCACTCCCCGTGTCATCCTTGCCCCCTCTTCCTGCACAAGCCCTCCGACCAAAAACACACACACACACAGAGAATTCCTCCAGCACGCCGACGGGGGGGCGATCGACAGTCCACGAGCTGCAAAAAGGCTGGACACGCGCAAACCCAAAGGTGCCACATGACCACGGCTCCGGGCAGCGAGGCAAAGGGGATCAGGGGAAGAGCATGGGGAGGGGAAGAAGGAAAAGGATAGGGAGGCGGCGAGCGACGTCGAAATCATCTCTGGAGTAGCAGCTCCCCCTGCTCCTCCTGCTCCTCCTCCTCCTCCTCCTCCTCCTCCTCCTCCTCCTCCTCCTCCTCCTCATTCTCCTCCAGATGCCACGTTGCTCGAGCGATGTTGCTAGCAGCAGGCCTGGATTCTTCGCAGCAACAATCGGGGGCTTCTACTCTGTCTTGCTCGACTCGGGCTTGGCCGTGGCTGTGAGCCACAAAGATTCATGGTTGGAACCCTCGGAGCGCTCGCGGAGATCGATTTGGCAGGACCTCAGGCTCGTAACCGTAAGGAAAAACAAAGTCCAGGGGCAGTGGGTGATCGAGAGCGAGTTTCGTCCTGGGCAGTACACCAATCCGCCACCGCGCCTGCGCCACGTTGAGGCGTGGAAGAATGCCAAGGACTGCCTGGTAGGGTTTCAATCGTATTCTAAGGACACCCCCCTTCCAGTTGCACCTAGGGGACGGCACCACCCATACTCCTGGGGGTCCCTGGGCGGCCGTGGCGCGTCCCTAGGGCTCTCCAAAGCTTCCATGACGGCCCGGGAAGCCTACCGTGGCCACCCAAGAGGCCTCCAAGACAGGCCAAGAGCGCTGCAAGACGCCCAAGATGGCCTCAAGACGGCCCAAGAGGCCCCAAAGAAGCCCCAAGGACGCTCCAAGAGGACCTCCAAGATGGCCCAAAGAGGCAAACATCATTGATTGTCATCATAGCTTTCCATGCTTTTCTCGTGTTCGTCATTTCGAGCTCCCGACGCTCCAAGGCGGCCCCAGTGGCCCCCAAGACCGTGACAGACGGCACAAGGGGCACCCAAGAGGGTTCCAAGACGGCCGAAGAGGGCCCCAAAACGCCCGAGAGGCGCCCAAGACAGCCCAAGGGAGCCCCAAGACGGCCCCAAGAGGGGCCCAACAGAGGAAACACGAACGGGCAATCCTAGAGCCTTCCGCCCGAAGAGGGCCTAGGCCCCAAGAGGCCTCCAAGAAGCCCAAGAGGCCTCGAAAAGGCCACCAGGAGGCCCAAAAGAGGGCATCCACCCGTTTCAGATTCCAGAATCACCCTGGAACCGCTCCGGAGTGATAATTGCAAACTGAAAGAGGTGATTTTCCACCTGGGCCGCTCTCAGAAGCCTTCTGGGCCGCCTTTCAAAGGTGAGTTTCTATCTGGCCCTCCCCATTTGGGATCCAGCTGAAGGCCCAACCGAAAAAAATGATCACCAATACAAGATTTCCACTTGGAAAATTACCACTCTTGGGGCTCTGGTCCACCCCCCCACTGATTCCCGACAGCACCCGCTGCTTCGGGGAGCGTCCCAGGTGGATTTTCACCCCCGGAGCCGTTCCGGGGTGCTGTTCCATCTGGGACCCCCCCTGGTGCAGAAGGCGCTCTCGGGGATAGGGGGGGGGGAATCTCTTGCTGGGGAGCCTTTTCTCGCGGCTGGGCTGCCCAGCCCAATGTCGGGAGCGCCCAGATGGACTTTCACCCCAAACCGTTCCAGGATGATTTTCAATCTGGGACTCACTCATGTGCAAGAGGCGCTCTCGGGGGTAAGCGAGGGGAGGTGCACCCGAGCCCCCAAAGTCGTCATCTACTGAATCGAGTCTTGTTGGGGAGCCTTTTCTCGCGGTTGGGCTCCCCAGCCCAATCTCGGGAGCGCCTGGGGGTGTGCCCGCGCCGACAAAGCCGTCATTTTCCAAATAGAATATCTTGGGGGGGGCCTTTTCTCGCGGCTGGCCTCCCTAACCGAATCTCGGGAGCGCCCCAGCTGGATTTTCACCCTGGGAACCGTTCCCGGATGCGCTTCCATCTGGGACACCCCCAGTGCACTGGGACCTCCCGTGCAGAAGGCGCTCTCGGGGCTACGCGAGGGGCTGCACCCCGGCCTCAAAAATCGTCACATTCCACATAAAACCTCTTATTTGGGGAGCCTTTGCTCGCGGCTGGTATCCCCAGCCCAATCCTGGGAGCGCCCCAGATGGATGGTGCTTTTCCATCTGGGACCCCCCCAATGCAGAAGGCGCATTGGGGATAAGCGGGGAGGTGTACCCGAGCCCAAAAAACCGTCATTCTATCAAATGGGATCTCTTGTTCGGGAGATTTTTCTCGCGGCTGGGCTCCCCAGCCGAATCTCGGGAGCGCCCCAAATCGATCATCACCCCGGAACCGTTCCAAGGTGTTTTTCCATCTGTGACCCCCCCAATGCAAAAGGCGCTCTTGGGGATATGCCGGGGGGTGTACCCCAGCCCAAAGAATAGTCATTGCTCAAATACAATATCTTTGGGGCGAGCCTTTTCTCGCGGCTGGGCTCTCCAGCCCAATCTCGGGAGCTCTCCCATCCCCTCTGCAAGCAGCCCAATCAGGCCTTCTGCAAGCAGCCCTGTAAGGCCTTCTGTAAGGACCCCGGTAAGGCCTTCTTTAAGGAGCAATAAGGCCTGCTCCACGGTGTGTGCACGGCTCAGATGTCAAGAAACTGGCAACCACGGTGGAGCGTCCCTCAGGATCCAAGCTAGGAGGTAAGTGTTTGGATTTGAGTTATAAGCATGTCTGTCTGTCGCCTCCTCCTCCTCCTCCTCCGTCTCCTCCTCCGCCTACATCCCGCATCCACTCCATCATCCACCTTCTCAACCTCCTCGTTCTGCTCCGCTCCTTCCTCCTCACCCCTTCCTCCTTCGTTCTTCCTCCCTCCTCCTCCTGCTCTTCAGCGCCCATCCGCTCCTGCCTTGCAACCCCAGCCCCAACCGGACGAGGCGGCAAGAACGGAAGATCCGCAGGACGCGGAAGACGCGCAGGGTGATCATGGCCTTGCCTGCAGGGCAATCGGCGGGTCGCGCGAAGGGAAAGGGCAGGATGGAGGAGGAAGGAGGGGAGGGAGGGAAAGGAGGAGGTTCGGCGATCGAACTTCGAAGAACAAGGCTTGAGGGTGATTTCCCCGTTGTCTGGGCCTTACGGTGGTTGGATTCACCTCGAAATTCTAGTCAAGACGCGACGCAGAAGCCCGCAAGAGCCCTGCAAAAGGCCCCGAAAGAAATCCCAAGAGATCCCCAAGAGGCCCCATAAGATGCCCACTAGGGCAACAAGGGGTCTCCCAAGAGGCATCCTCTTGGGGTGCTGTCCACGACCTAGGCAAGGTGGCGGGATAGGCCGAAGGCACCTGGACATTGCACGCTAGAGATTGCACCGCAGTGATTGCGCCCGACAGCTTGCACCACACAGCTTGCGCACCATAACTCGCACCCCGTAGATTCTCTTCACTGCTGAATATTGGATCGCACCCCCATGCCGAGGCCGGACTTAACCGCCCCACGCCGCGTGTTTGATCGTCATACTTCAAGGGGCCCACAAACACACAAAGAAATACACACAAATAACAGAAATCCCTATATTTTCCCGTATTTTCTTGGTTTCTGTCTCCCCCCCCACTTCCCATATTTTCCCATATTTTCTGGGGAATCGACGATTAATTGTGTCTGTGTGTTTCTTTCCCTCCTGAATACTGTTCCGCGCGATCGCTCATCCTAAACATGACCCCGTGGCATCCCAGCCAGTCGCGTCATCGACACCCCCCTCACCACTTCGGGGGTGGACAGAACCCCCTTTAGCAAAACGTGATTTAGTGAAAACGACCTCGGGCCCCAACCTGGCGGGCGCAAGCCTGGAAAATGAATGCCGCGGCGCCCTCTCGAGAACCGAGAACGGACAATTCACTAATCGACGTGTCAGGGTGGGGGTTCTGTCCACCCCCTCACCACTGCCAAACTATACTGTGTAGAGCACGCGCCTTGATCTTACAAGAGCACGTCACTGAACCCGTGTCAAGTGATACCCTCCGGGCCACACGCGCGCGCGCACGTGTCAAACTCATTACAGCGCCCATGCTTTTGAAATTGTGTGAATCAGAAGCTGACTAAACACATGCTTGCTCGGGGCGCAGGTTAAAATATACGCGGGCACTCCTTGAACTCAAAAG